AAATTCACGGGGCAGTTGGTGTCAAGGACCCACAGGGAAGTCACAGCTCCTGCGGCAGCACCAGTGAGTTGTGCTGGGGACCCCAGCAGCCACCGTGTCCCCAGCGGACATGCCCCGGGGGTGGCCCAGCCCTGGGTTTGATGTGCTCGTGGGGGCTTTTTGGGCACCCTTCTGCAATGGGGAAGGGGGAACAGTGGTGGATCCCCCTGGGTCCTCACTGCTGGATGTGCCCCAGGACACCCAGCCCCCCCCGGGTGAGTCTGCACCAACTCCGCAGCACCCACAGACGGCTACACAACAAGATGCAGCTCTGGGGTGCTGCTCCCCAAGCCTGCAGTCCCCCACCCCAAAACCTACCTCTGGGGCAAGTCTGCTCCCTCCTGGCGATGCCTTTCCTCCCTTAGGGCATCCCCCCTGGTGCTCCCCACCAGCCCCGGGCTCCGGGCAGAGCCTGCCCACGGCGGATGGGCTGCCTCCCGCTCCCACGGCCTCCTCTCCTCCCGCGGGTCCCGGGGGCGGAAACGCACTTTCTAGAAAGTAAAGGAGGCAGCAGCGGAGGAGCAGCGGGACGAGGCGTGCAGCCCTCCCACTGCCAGATGTGAGCCCAGCGGCGCGGGCGGCCGCCGTTAACCATGTGTTCTCCCACCGCCTGCCAGCACCGGGCCCACAGCCATGGCCAGAGCTGGCCCAGGGTCAGGGAATTCGGGGCGGGGGGGGGAAACGGTGGCGGCACGTGCTGGGAAGCATCACCAGATGTCACACTGTGGGGCTGGGACACTGCTGTGCTGGGGGGCAGGACCCTGCCCCACACCGGGAGACCCTCAGGCTGCTCCCCAGGCCTGGGGGCACCGGAGCCTGCCTTAACCCGACCAGGGACGGGATGGCCGCTGGCAGGCAGACACGCACACGCGTCCCCGTGGTGCTGTGGACAGCTGTCCCCGCTGCCCGCACCCCAAATGGTGGGGGGGGGACACGGGGTGCGTCCAGGACAGCACTGGCGGGGGGAAAAGAGCAGCGAGCTGGGGGCCGGGATGCACCGGGGGGAAGAGGTAGGGGGGAGATGCACCGGGGTCGTGCCCACCGGGGACTGGGCCGCCAGAAACACCACTCCGCAATGCCGGCTCGCCCCTTCCCCGCCCCCGCACCGTGGCCCGCCGTGCCCGGGCTCCAACCCTCCCATGCGCGGGGTGCCGGGGCTGGCCGGGCCCTTCCCGGCGGTGCGGCGGGGACGGTGAGGGTTGGCAGAGCCAGGAGCGGCAGAGACGCCCTGCCAGCCTGGCTGTCCCCCACGCTGTCCCCCAGACAGGACCAGGCAGCCCCACAGCTGTGCTGCCAGCCCCAAAAAAGCTGCTCTTGCAACAGCCCTTCCCCAGCAGAGCTGGCAGCGTGGGCACAGGCATCTCTGCAGGGACCATCTGTACCTAAATAGCTGCTTTTCTAGCTCAGCCATGTGTCTCGGTGACACTGCAGTGAATACCTGGGGATACCCATGTTTGGAGCACTGCCAGGGCTCCGGGCTCACCAGCAAGCCCCCTGGTACACGTGGAAGGAGGGGGGGATACCCTGGGGAGCCGAGAGGGGAGTGGAGCAGCAGTGTCCTGCTGCCTGTCCAAGCCCAGCTCCACCTGCCACCCATGGATGCCCACCACCCCCTCGGGGGCTCCCCCGTGTCCCGCCACGGCCGGGGCTGGGCCCCCCACACTCAATGCGGCCTCTGTTCGTCCTGGGGCCGCTGAAAGGCACATTGAGAGCCCGGTCTCCCCGGGGGGCACGGCCCGTGCCCAGCGTCAGGCCTGGGCCACCCCACCGCGGCCGGTGACCCCTCCTTTGGGGACATTCCTTGGCCAGCGGCTGGGGACCCCTCTGCCCTGCCTTGTTGGGGGGGTGGAGGGGGTGTCATTGCCCTACGCTGTGTGGCAGCGGGTGGTACTGGGGGCAGCTTCCAGGCCCTGGGGGCTGCTTTACCCCCCTCCCCTGCCCTGTGCAGCCTGGAGTGCCCGCCTGCAGCAGCCCCCCCCGTGCTGCCACCGTGTCCCCTGTGCTGTAGGGAGGGGGGTGGCAGGGACAGGCACCGCTGGCACCCTGCGGGTGGGCAGATGGCACCCACAGCCATGTCCTGCCCGGAGGGGATGCCCCGATGGTGGGCAGGCCTGGCAGGGGCTGGGAGTGGTGGGGGAGAGGAGGGGGCTGCTGCGGTTTTAAGGCTGGGCAGGTGAAGGTGTGTGCCCCTTGGACCTGGGCGCTGCGTTTCCTGCTTGGGTGTTGGCATCCTGCTTGGGTGGAGCTGCCACGTGTCTCCTCGTGTCCCAGTGGGGCCTGGGGACACGCTCGCCGCTCACCAGCGGGGCCGGTTCCTGGGGGCTTTGGGAGCCAGGCCAGACCGGCCGCCCGCTCCTGAGGCAGCGAGGGTCGTCCTCGCCACCAGACGGGAACCTCCTCCTTCCCCAGGGCTGTGTGGGGACACTGTTTGGCAGGACACCCCGGTGTGGGTCCCCAGGGCTCACCTGGGGCTGGGGTGCCTCGGCTCCCTGCCTGGGGTGCTGCGGTCAGCAGGTAGAGGTGCTGAGTAGGTCGTGCATGGTGGGGCTTGTTGTGGTCTGGGGGGGTAAGAAGGGGCTAAGAGTGGCTCTAGCAGCAAAGCAACCCCCTTGGCCTGCTGGCTTTTCCCTGTGTGAGGTGACAGCACCTTCTGGAACTGCTGGAGAGGGTACAGCAAAGGGCCACAAAGATGATTAAGGGCCTGGAGCATCTCTCCTACGAGGGGAGGCTGAGGGACTTGGGTCTTTTTAGTCTTGAGAAGAGAAGGCTGAGGGGAGATCTAATTAATGCATACAAATACTTATATGGAGGATGTCAGAAGGATGGGGCTGGTCTTTTCTCAGTGGTGCCCAGTGACAGGACAAGAGGAAATGGGCACAAACTTGAGTATAAGAAGTTCCACCTAAACATGAGGAGGAACTTCTTTCCTGTGAGAGTGGTAGAGCACTGGAACAGGCTGCCCAGAGAGGTGGTGGAGTCTCCTTCTCTGGAGACATTCAAAACCCACCTGGACAAGTTCCTGTGCAACGTGCTGTAGGTAGACCCGCTCTGGTGGGGGGGTTGGACTAGATGATCTCCAGAGGTCCCTCCCAACCCCATATGATTCTATGATTCTGCTGCTGCAGGAGAGGGGATGGGGTCCCTTGTCTCTCCCTCGTGTCTCAGCGCAGCATCGGGCTCCAGCTCTGACCTGCTTCCTCCTCTCCTTCCACCAGGTTCTCCTCGCCCCCCAGTCTGATGCCCGTCCCGCCCTGCCATGGGTCTATGAGCCCCCTCCGGATCAGCGTGGGTAGCCTGCCTGTGCTCGCGTCCATGACCAAGGGTGCTGACCCCCGGTTCCGACTGCGCTGGAAGGCCATCGTGCTCTCCTCAGCCTGCCTGGGCTTTGTGCTGCTGCTCTTCTGCCTGCACCGCTCCTCCCCGGCACGGCCCGTCCCGCCACATCCCCGCAACTGGCGACTCAGCCTGCAGGCAGGGGACCGCTACAATGACACCTACCCGCTGTCCCCTCCCCAGAGAAACCCCGAGGGCGTGCGCTACCGCATCGGAGTCATCGCCGACCTGGACACGCAGTCCCGGGGCACCGAGGAGCACACCTGGTTCAGTTACCTGAAGAAGGGCTACCTGGTGCTGTCGGACAGTGGGGACAGCGTGACGGTGGAGTGGGACAAAGAGGAGAGCGTCCTGCAGTCCCACCTGGCTGAGAAGGGCAGGGGCATGGAGCTCTCCGAGCTGGTCGTCTTCAACGGGAAGCTGTACACGGTGGACGAC